ATGAAACGAACAAAACCACATTGAACTATCTAAACGATGACAATAAAAAAGTAAACAGATTTTACTCTGGATAAAATTGGTTTCATCTATTTTATTAGTTTAAATTCATAGAAAAAGAATATTTGTTGACAACTGCAAGCTGAGATTTACAATGTAATTTAGTTATAGAATCATTTTTAACAAGAAATTGATAACTATGACAAAAAAAGTATAAATGTAAGTGAAAAAAAAAACACACAAACTATAAAGGATAACAAAAGCAAAAAAAATGCAAATTATCGCAATCAACGGTTTCATAAAACGCAAATGTCTATAAATTTTAGTATTATACACACACAATATACAATATACATACAAACAAAAACTAAAAAAAAAGTGTTCACGAATGGAGAGAAACAAGTACTTGAGATATACTCCGCATTCGGACCAACTGTCTGTATAAATATTAAACAAAATGCATGATTCATAACTTTGAATGTGTGCGAAGAGTAAAGCTTAGAATATATTTGGTAAAGTATTTTTTAGTACATTTTTTGATTTTTTGTTTTGGTTGATCGACACAGATTGATATCCATGGCTATAACATCCCAAATAAATAATAAAAGAAAAGCATTCTTTTAATTTTGAAGGTGTTGCAGTATTTTGCAATACGTTAACGGATCTCTTGAGTATTTCTTACCATGCGCGAAAGCTATAGAGTGAAAAAAAAACTAGATAAGAGAAAATCATCATATAGGGAATTTAACAGATATAAATATCGCATAAGAAAATTATTACTATAGACCCTTTGTTGTGCCAGAAAGCAATTTGAATTTTTATGTACTGAGAATGCTGAAAAGGGTTCAGTGTAAATTTTCCTTTGCATCGTAGAGAAATTCTAGAGATTAATTTCACCAACTAGACAAAATCCCGCTTTTTTTATTTAATATACTCATAGAAACCAATACGATCGTGTATATTTCGAAGAGTAGGCGTTTTATTTTGTCCTATACACTTGGTCAAAGTAAGAAAAGCCCGTGTGTATAAACATGTGACTCTAATTACACAAGGTTAACTAAATTTAACTAGAGTTTGTCCTAGAACAGTCAGTCACTTATTTTGTCACACGGGTCTATCTTAAAAATTTGAATAACTTCATTATTTCTTGTACTTCCATTTATGTTTTAAAGCAGTGCGTAACGTTTCAATAAACGGGGACAAGCATGAATATTAAAGTAGTCAGTCGAATTTGAAACCTTTTTTTTCTTCTCACGAATATCATTAAATAACCTCTCAAAGTTCCGTAGTTTCAACCTTTAAGGATGGAGTTGTATTTACGCTTACCAATATAGGTTTCAATTCATTAAACCAATCGGGATAGGTCTCAATGGATTAAATAAATGAATCAAATATATGTACTATTCGATAGTTTTCTACGTGCCTGCTTTAGTGTGTGACGTCTTTTATGGTATAAATTTAATATTTCAATAACTGGGGCGCACCGTTCGTAGTGGCCAAATGCTCCAAAATAACTAGTCTAGTAAATGTCTAGCTGAATGTCGCCTCAAAAACAACAACAATTTGAGGTGATAACATTTTGGTTGGCCTTAGGGAAATAGATAGTGCGCCCTAAACATCTATTTGATATATTTTATCGATTTTTGCAACTAAACTCGATTGTCGTCTCTAAATAAATAATACATATAAAATATGAATATACATAATGAAGAAGTTAAAGTAAAGTGTAAAAATACTATGTCTCGTGATGTTTTCCTTCCAAAAATGTTATGCGCAAAATGTCACATTTTTTTGTAGATCACATTGCCACCACTGAATTGAGCGCCCACAAATTAAAGCATCACCGAGCTTAAATAATAATAATTATTATTATGTTGGTTTCAATTTGTCCAAATGATTGGCATGTATTTTCTTTTTCAAAATGAACATTTATTTGATATATTTTACCAAAGATTGAAAGCAATATCATTTTTAAATTTGTGATTGTGCGGCATTCTCTTCGCATTTAATTATTTTTGGCAACGATCTAATATGCCAAAAGTCTACATAACATATACATGAGTAAAATGTTTTCATTTGTTCTTCTTTACAAAAAATATTTTGTTGCATAGATTTATTTGAAGCAATTTTTTTTTGTTCTGCATCTATCTAAAGCCAGTATTCATTTTCAATATATTATAATCAATTACTTTCCCATTAGCATTTTTTTTTGAATCAATAATACCTCTGAAATGGCATCATTTCTTCCAATTTGTTTATTATTTTTCTCTTTAATCATATCCAATCGAATAAAATATTTCGATTCAAATCTTTTAAAGGACACCGCAAATAATGCTTCAGAAAGATTGAATGTGTTTTTGACGCGAAAAAAAAAAGATAAAATCTTGAAAATGTTGTACGGTGTTTAAAATCAGCCCGACACACATCTTAATGCTTAGATAAATCGTTCAATTATCGTTTTTGTGTATAATTTTGATATATAAAATAAAAACAATGGTTCAAAGTAGAACAATTTTTCACTCGCTGAATTTTGTGGAATTAAGTTATTTACTTAAAGTGCAGGTGTAATTTTGTCCGTTGTTACCTCAAGTTCTCTTAAAAATAATAAAATAAAACAAAAAAAAAATATAATTTGTCATAAAAGGTATTTTTCAATGCGGTTTCAAACAACAACAAAAATTGATGTAATATTTTTATGTGATAACCATGAATAGCATGTACCTTATTTGGGAAAAACTGAAGAAAAAAATGAAAAAAAAAAAATTAAAATAAACTAACATATAAGCTGATGCACAGTTCTTGATGTACTTGTACACAAACGTTATAACTAAACGGATCATAATTGTAATGATGGTGCTTTTATATAGACTTGAAGACATACATTTAACCTTAAATACAACGCACTTTCTACATTCAATTGTCATAATGTATATGACAATTAAATACTACAACATTATTATTATCTTTTTCGAGAGATTTGTTTTTGAGAATAAAATAAATTTTGACTCTTTTGTACACCTTTTGTGTGAATTTTTCGGTGAAATCAGTGATCTTTTATTTAAAAAAAAAATGGAATGAAGTAAAAGAAACAGAAAAATCTCGAAAATTAATATTAAATTTCATACATTTTGGATATCGAAAAACTATATATTCACGAACATTGGTCATTTAAGCGATATATCTTTTGAAAACACATGATAATTTTTTGAATGTAATTTTGTACACAAAATATGCTTACTTTAAGTTTCAACGTAAATGCAAGCCAATATTTTTTTTGTACAAATAAATGCATCATTTCTGGAACAAGCTTTTTGTAAATTCGGTGAAAATAGATTTGTAATAACGTATTGTTTCAGTACATTATTTACAATGATACACGCTCATTAAATGCGTACATTGTATTGTGCGATATTTTCAACCAATTAAAATATCCTTTGTGTGTGCGTGAGATATTCAGCAGCTGAATTGAATTTGGGAATTTTGAAGATCGTCAAAACGATTAACCGAGATTATACAAGTGACTTATAAGTAACCGTAGCTATTAACGCTGATATGATGTCACACATCTGCGCTTTTGGCTGGTTAAAAATATGGCTCATTACAATGGTTTTTTTTTCTTTAAATTCACAATGAAAATATGAATTATGAATTATAAATGTTGTGAGAATATCTGTATGATTGAGCGATTTTAAACGATATATAGCTTAAATGTTATCAGTGTAAAATATATGCATGGTATTTCATCAATGAGGCATAACTATCAAATTAAAATCGATTAAATTCGGAACGTATTAAATTCCATCCTCAAATAATGATTTTTATTCGCTTTTCTTTTTATTCTTTTTTTTTATATGGAAATTTCAATAAAAGGTAATTTATTTATTTTTGCTTTTGATCAATTTTTAAATCTTTGTTATAAAAAAAAAATATGTTCAATTAAAGAAAAAAAATTAGAATGGAAGTGATTCGTTATAAAGAAATTTTAAAGGTAGGCTTCTGTTTAATATACGTCACATCGAAAACAATAACTGAATGTATGTGGTACAAGTATCGCATCTTCGTAAGAAAAAAAACCGTTTCACAGAGCACATATATTCCATGATCGAATTTAAAATCCAACCCGATTAATAATGAACCACAAAAACAAAATACATAGAAACCATTAATCATCTGATAAATTTATCACTGTTTTTGTTGGATGTGAAGTAGCCAGCTTCAGTGTGAAATATAAGTTTAAGAATATCTTTCATAGCAACAATTAAATATCCTTGAATTCAAAATATTTAAAAACAAAAACTATTATGATGAACTTGATCCAATAAATAACAAAATGCTTGAAGTGAATAATTGTATTTTACTTTTTTTTTATCAACTTAATTATTAATAGAAAAGCGACTCCGTTTGCTTCTGTTGTGAAGGTAGGAAGAAAAAAAAAACAGATTTTTAGAAAAACACACATAGACGCTGAATAAGCCCTTTTAAGGTAAGAAAAATTATAAACTTGTAATAGGTGGGTCCATCGGGCGTCTAAGTTTTTGACACAAATAAATTTTCTAGTTGAGAACAACCTTCCACTTAGTGAACTAGTGAGGTCTATCGCATATATTTGACATTATTACGAAAACAGTTGGAGATATATGATATTATTTCATAAAATATTTAGAAAGCTCAAGTTTTGTATGAGTCAAAGAAAGTATTTTTTTTCTTCTTTGGACAACACTTTGTGTTAAATAAATGAGTAGAATTTGTAATAGAAAAATTATCGTATCTATTTAATGTTCGAATTAATCGTGAGTACGTTAAAAAATATTTTTTTTAATATATTTTCTTTAATCATTTGGCAATTAGGTCTTATAAAGCAAACAATAAGAAAAAAACATCAGTGTTGTTTGATCAGTAGCGCCATCTATATGTAAATGCCAAATACAATTTCCTTTGCACACATTGACTTTTGCCATGAAAGTAAATCAATAATAATCATATACAAATAATTAAATAAAAATAATGCAAAATTATTGACAACAATCGATATAAAAACAAGTATATGAGAAGAAAATGTGTGTTATAGTAATAATTTGAATGAAATCACACATAAAGTATTCCATCATAATCGTTTTTGACAGCTAGTAAAGAAAAAAACACTGTGTGCACAGAACTATTTATTGAATTGAACACGAACAGTAGCGAGTGAGTTTTTTCCGTAGAAAAAAAACATTGAAACCATTTGAATCTCATACAAAATAGATGTGTGTCGAATGTAAAGATAATAGTGATAAATATTTTGACATCGATTTCCTGATGTTTGAAGTAACATCGTTTCAACGAAGACCAGCACGGAACTAACTTGAATTCATCAAAATACACAACATTGTACTGCGACAGTGTACTCCAACTGATTGAAATTGTCGTCGTCTTGAGAATTAAGTCGTTTCGTTCTATCCCACAACTTGGAATGGGTATTATTTCTATTACATTCCATTACGTTCGATTACATGTTGATTAATTTACAATATTTACATTTTTTCTTCTAATCATCTGTCTAGGTATATTTTCTTTGTACAATAGACGGGAGCGTGGATTAAACAATTATGCTGGCTTAGAAGATCAAATACACAAATCAATATATTCACATTTGGAAGCATACAGCTGTTGGGACAGTGATTCTGCGAATGGTTCGGAATATGGTGGCGTTTACAATTTGGAATATTCTCCCGATGGGTAAACATTACACAATCGATTTTTGTCATGATTCACAAGACTAATGCTTTATTTCGTTTCATTTATTAGAACACTGTTAATAGCTGCATGTGAAAAGAAATCGATCGTTTTATTCGATCCGATAACCACTCGTCAAACGAAGGCTGTGAAAAATGCGCATTCAGATTCCGTAAATTGTGTTAAGTATGTAATACATTGATCGTTTTATACTTTTGCGTCTGAAATAAATAATACGAATTACAAAATTTACCAACATTTTTTTTTTTCATAGGTTTCTAACGGATTGTTTGTTTGCCACTTGCTCGGATGATACAACCGTTGCTCTATGGGATAAACGAAATTTAAGATCGAAAGTTCGGAGTTTACATGGTCACATGAATTGGGTAAAAAACATCGAATATTCAACCAAAGAAAATCTGCTGGTGACGTCAGGTTTTGATGGAAGTATTTTTACGTGGGACATAAATTCGAGTACCGAACAAGGATTTGTCTATCAAAAAGTATTTCATACACCTGGTTTGATGAGGTGCCGAGTATCACCAAATTCAAATCAATTGGTCATTTGCACGACGGGCGGCTACTTAATCATCATTCATGATTTAGAATTGTCAACACTTGCCGAAGACTTGAATGGATTTAAGGTGGGATTTTCAATTAAATTCACACATCAGTTGCAGCAAAATTGTTTGGCTCGCAATTTATATATCTCAAGGCCAATATAGACTTTTGTCATGATCATTAATTAATTTACGCTTTTATTTTTTAATCAATAGCCAAATGTGTATCGTCTAATGCAGTTAGGTAGACAATTTATACCAACAGCGGCGAAATTCGATCATGTGTTCTCGAAAAATATGAAACGAAATCGAGTCGAATTAGTTAGTGATTTTCCAAATGATGCCGAAGTAATTAGTAGTTTACAAGTGAGTCAAATCGAAATTTGAGTGAATAAAGATAAGCAATCAGTTAAAATTCATTTTCTTTCTCATTTTTATTTTTATTTTTTTTAGATCCATCCGCATGGATGGTGTGCACTTAGCCGAAATATAAGTTATGACGAGAGGACCGAATTTACATGTTTACACGATATTCAGCATCGAGACTATGATGATAGCATTGATAATGCTGAATCGGATGAACATCAAAAAAACAACGATACACAACCATTTATGACAACGTCTACAGCAACCACCACCACCACCACAACGACCACAACAAATGTAAGATTGATATATAATGGCCGCAATTTAAATTGAACTAATCAATAATTTATAATGAAGCAGGTGAATAGCACAGTAACACATGCAGATATCTGGGCCGCTGAAATGACTGTACGAGATAGATTGCTTAGGGTTAGACGAAACCATGATTCGAATACATTTAATAATACGCACGTATATGGTATCAGTAGTGGTGTTTTATCAATGCAAAATTCCAATGCGACTCAGCCCGTTCGATTGTCATCACCATCGGCAACAGGAGGTGGTGGAGGTGGTGCATGCAGTGGATATCGTTACATGTACGTACCGAAAAAGCCGATACCACAAAATGTACGACGAATGTTATACTCAATAGAACAACCAAATAAAGGCCAAGGATTGATAAAAGAGGAATGCTTCTCATCATGTGGACGCTTAATATGTTCACCATACGGATTAGGGTTTCGTTTGCTCGCATTCTCGCCCAATTGTCAGGAATTACCACAGGCGCTAACACAACAAAATGGTTCAAATAAATTATATGAATTGAAAAATGTTGATTGTCATCAAGATATTGTGGTGAGCACAAGATTTAGCCCCATTCATCCGTTATTAGCCACCGGATGTTTACAAGGAAAAATAATGTGGCATCAGCCACGTTTTTAGTTTTATTCAAATTCGCTTCATTCGAATGCATAATGTTCAAATATGTTTTCTTTTTTAAATTTTCTTAAATAAAATGTTTAGTAATACGTAGGCTGTTACTTATATATTGAGAATAGCAAACACAGATAAACATTTATTATTGAAAACGACTTTATTGTTTTTCAAAATATTCTCCGTGATGATCGATAGACTTTTGCATTCGATGAAACCATTTGTCATTGCATTCATGCCACTCCGAAACTGATATCTCCAAAACATGTGTTTTGAACGCATCAACTGCTTCTTCGGGCGTTGAAAATCGTTGACCACGCAGTTTATTCTTCACGCTTGGGAACAAAAAGAAATCGTTGGGTGCCAAATCAGGACTGTACGGCGGATGACCCATCAGTTCGATGTTTTGACTGGTCAAAAATTGAGTTGTTTGATTAGATGTGTGAGAGCTTGCATTATCGTGATGAAGAATTATTCTGCGACGGCGGTTGTTTTTTCTTATTTCACCAATCACTTCCGGCAAACAAATGGTGGTATACCAATCAGAATTGACGGTCTTACGATCTTCTAGTGGAACTGTTGCCACATGACCATTTCTCTCGAAAAAACAGGCGACCATTTGCTTCGAAGTGCTTCTTGCTCGATCAACTTTTGTTGGGTTATCTTCACTTTGGAAGACCCATACTGTTGACTGCTGTTTACTTTCGGGCTCATATCCATAGATCCATGATTCTACACATGTGACGATATTATAAATGTCTTTTGATGCACCTCGATTGTATTTGTTGAGCATTTCTTTACACCAATTCACACGAGAATTTTTTTGATCATCGGTCAATTTATGTGGAATCTAACGAGAGCAAATCTTTTTTACGGCCAAAATTTCATGCAAAATCGTGTGTATGCTTCTCATACTAATGCCCAAGGATGCCTCAATCTCAAATCTTGGTTTATCATGTTTTTGACAGCATCGATAGTTTCTGGAACAACAACCGATTTTGGACGACCTTCACGGAATTCGTCGATGAGCGAATGACGACCACGATTGAATTCAGTAAACCAGTGATATGCAGTGGCCTTGCATGGAGCTTCATCGCCAAAGACCAAATGAAGTTGATCAAAACACTGTTGTTGAGATACACCCAATCTAAAGTCGTAGTAAATCATCGCACGAAAATTTTCACGAGTGCAATTCATTTTTTTGTTGAGATGCAATTTAGATGTCACTGTAAACAATACAAATAGCGCGCGTATGACAGAACGTTCTGAGATCGTTTATGCTACCAAATGTTAAACTTAACGAATATGACAATGGTTTGTATTGGACAACACTAAATATTGCCAATCTAGAAATATATGGAGCAGCCCTCGTACGTGGGATGTCATTAGACGCATTCATTTTATTAGCACCGGCATGCTTCTGACATTTTGGCGACGATAGATACATAGACAAGCAGATAAATAAAATAAACGCAACGCATCACAAACTAGCAACGAAGAACTGAGAAAAACAGAAAACGACCACATGTAAAAATGTAAGAATTGTTCAGTTTATCAAGTGCGTGTGATATAGAGAAAATTGTTTCACCGAATTCTCAATTCGTCGTCAAAATTTCGAACGAACAATTCCAATTTTTATATTTTAACGTTAAATTGAAGAAATCTCAATAAATACAAGAAATATCATTTGACGTGTATTTAACGTTTAGTAGTTTTGTAACTAATATGGCGTCGTTCGGTGGTGAAGAAAATGCTGTTCAAGAAATCGGTAAACATTTTATTCAATAGCCCATGGCATTTATGAACAATTCGTTTTAAGTATGTGTGATATGTGTAACGATTGATTTTATGTATTGAAAATTGTGTGATTTTATTGCAAATGATTTGAAATTTATTTCAATTATATAAACGTAATGCGGCTTAGTTTGTCGACAATATTGTTCCGCCATTAGTTTAATTGCTTGTCACAATTTCCATTGCTATGTGTGTGTTTGTTATACAAATATAAAAAGTATTCAACTGTACAATCACCATTATTATTGATGTTATCATTATCTTCGTTTGTTTCGTTTTTTTTTTTTTTTCATTCATTCTCGATTATTGCTTGATCGATAACGACAACAAATTTATTAACGATTTGGTCTGTTCAATTTAGAGGGAACTCGACGGACGCGGTCAAGCAGAAAAGCTGCTTCCACACCAGTTACAACTGTTGTTCCAGTTAGGAATACACGTCGATCAACGCGAAAAAAATCATTCGACGTAAGTATATTACAGTATATCGTATTGTGAATCGTTTCACAATTTTCCCTCTCTTTGAATGATGAAAATATTTGCTAATAAGCATTTGTTTGAGATGTATCTCCAATTGCTGATGACATCCACACTCACACTTTGTGTGTGACTGTGTATTTATGATATATGGCAAGGGCCAACTGAATTTTTTTCGCTTTCAAAAATCAATTAAATATTTGAATACGTGAACAAATGTATAACAATCAATTATATTCTCTAGAACGGCGGTGACGATGGTGAAGGTGATGTAAAATCAACTGAGGAAACTGATACTTTGAATACAATAGAAGAACAAACTAGCATTGAATGCAAAAGTGTAGACATGATGCAAGTCTGTATGGATGCATTGCAAAATAAAACATCCGGTGTTGATGATGATGCAACGGATGTCAATAACCCACCAATATCAATCGAATCGAATAATGAAAATGACCCAGCAAATCAACAAAATGCCACAACAACAACTGAAGCCACCGAATTGAACAGTGATTCGAGCAGTTTACCAGCCATAGCAGAAGATCTGCCCAATGGCAACAGTCAAGATACAAAAATTTCAAATGAATTAGATGCTGAAATGGTTTCAGAAGATGAACTACCGGCACCGGCACAACCAAAAATTGATGATGCCGAAGATTTATCCGATGAAGAATTGCCAGGTCCAAAGAGAGCCGAGTTACCAGCGGATACTGAGGTGGTGTCTGAAGAAGAATTTCCATCGTCAAATAAAATTAAACGAAAAATCGATGGGGGAAAAGAGGGTGAAAATGCCGATGATAATGCCGACACTCCAAAGAAACGTGCAAAAGCTGAAGTTGACAGTAAACATAATTTACTATTTATTTATGCAAAAACAACAAATTTAATCGATGATTTTTTTTTTAAATTAATTTTTCTCAATTCAATTGTGTTCATTAGGTAAAGAACCAGAAAAATCGAACGAGGCTAGCGACAAAACTACACAGAAAAAAACACTGCCTGATCTTGATAGATATTGGAAAGCGGTTAACGATGATCCAAGTGACTTTACCGCATGGACATACCTTTTACAATATGTAGAACAAGAGGTATTTCATTTTATTGTTATGTATGGTGAACTACACCGCGGCAAATCATAAATCAAAACATATGAGAAAAGAGACACCATTTCCGTTGTTAATATATAACTTAAATTTAATTCGAAAATAGAATGACATTGAGGCAGCCCGTGAGGCGTACGATGCCTTCTTGGCACACTATCCCTATTGCTATGGCTATTGGCGTAAATATGCTGACTACGAGAAACGGAAAGGAAATAAAAAGAAATGCGAAGATGTAAGTTAAATTGATTTTTGCATTTAAAATTTAAATTTATTTAATTTATTTTCGGTGAATTTATGTTCGTGCAATTAATGTACAATGACGTACAGAAATCGAGCGACAAACGGGTGCATAAAAAATACATTTTTGTTTTCGTTCCATATTTGGCTTTTGCAGAGAATATTCAATTTTCGATCAATTAACGTTTTATCGATACATTTACTTCGCTACAGTCAACAGTACTCAGAAACAGCTGTTTGTCTGCACACGAGCCCCTTTCTTGGGACATTTGCTGGCATTACTCTTTCACAATACTTACCGTTCAAAAATCTCACACACACACACACACACAATCACTGAGATGCAAACGTTATTCGATACACAATAACGACATCAATCAAATTTTATTTTTATAATTAGATAAAATAAAGTACAGTTAGTTTACAGTGTATTGGTAATCAAATTGATTTATGTGGATGTTGCTTGTGTTCGATTTCAAATACAATCCATTAAACATTTAACTCAATTTGTTTACCAAAAAAAAAATCTTTCTTTCTTTTTTGAACAGAAAAATGAATTGTGATATTTTAAAGACACATATTGTGATTAATATTTTGTAGAAATGAATTAAATATTTATTGAAAAAAAAAAAAACAATCAACATATAAACACATCAAAAGTATTGAGTTTTGTTTAGATGGACATCAATTAGTTTCTATTCTTTTTGTTGAATTGTTCATTCTTTCTATGCTTCTCATTTTCATCATCCACTTACATTCTTTGACATTTGATTTTCACTTATATTCACTTGCTCCAATATATTTGCATGATTTTTGGGTCCAATTGTTGTAATCCAGGACTATCTGAAATCAAAAGCGTTCAATTCCAATTTTCTATGTCGAAATCATGTCTGGTGTTGGTCCAAAAACCAGAGCTGTTATTGGCACCGAAGAAGTGCAGTGCCTGATACATGAAAGAGGGCTTGAAGTGCACTTCCACGGTGCCAATGATAGCTATGTCAGAAAATTAAATTACAAAAAAAAATTCTTTCTTGCGAGCTTTCTTCAGAACATTTGCTAAAAAAAATACTGATTCTGACCCTAAATATAATTTCCCTTCTTCAAAAAAAAAAATCAAGGTATTCGAACGTGGATTGAAAGCGATACCATTATCGGTGGACTTGTGGATACATTATTTGACCCATGTAAAACAGAATTACACTGACAATGAATTGTTTGTTCGATCGCAATTTGAACGTGCGGTTACAGCTTGTGGTTTAGAATTTCGATCTGATAAACTGTGGGAAGCCTACATTAAATGGGAGACTGAAAATAAACGCCTCAATAATGTGATCAACGTATATGATAGACTGCTAGCAACGCCAACTCAGGGCTATAGCAGTCATTTTGAAAAGTATGTAATCACATTACATTTAAATTGCTGAGCTGAAAATTCTGAAAATTATTTTAATTACTTCTTTCGTTTTCATTTTATTATTTCTTCTTTTAAAAAACGAACAAAAAAAAAACATAGTTTCCAAGAGATCGTAAGCAACAATGCGATCGCATCGTTGATACCGGTGGACGAATTTAAGCGACTTCGAAAAGAAGTGCGCGATGCAGAGACAAAAGAATCGGCTGATGATTCGGCGTTAGCGCCCGGTGCAGATGAGCCCGACGATTATGTTCGAAATGAATCCGAAGCATCTGCCATCAAAGATAAATTGCTTACTAGCTATCGAAAAGTACATAAAAATACAGTGGCTGCAGTAACAACGCGTTGGTCATTCGAAGAAGGCATTAAACGACCGTATTTTCATGTAAAACCACTTGAACGATGTCAGTTAAAAAACTGGAAGGATTATTTGGACTTTGAAATTGAGCAGGGTGATCGAAAGCGTGTTTTGGTGTTGTTTGAACGTTGTCTCATCGCCTGTGCATTGTACGATGAATTTTGGCTTAAAATGATCCATTATCTCGAATCACAGACTAATGAACCCGATATTGTACAAAAAACCAGAGAAGTATATGAACGAGCATGTACAATTCATCATCCCGATAAACCGAGCCTACATTTATTGTGGTCGGCATGTGAAGAACAATTGGGCAATTTAAATAAAGCGGCCGAAATTTTGAGCAATTTAGATAAGACATGCCCAAATTTAATGCAAGTTGCGTATCGTCGCATCAATTTGGAACGAAGGCGAGGCGATTTCGATAAATGTTCACAGTTATACGAACATTACATAACAAATACAAAGAATAAAACAACAGCCGCCAGTTTTGCAATCAAATATGCTCGATTTTGTAATAAAATCAAAGGTGACATCGATGGTGCGATGGTTATTTTACAAACGGCATTGGAAAAAGACCCAAGCAATGCTAGAATTGTATTACAAATGATTGATTTGGCATTACAACGGCAAACGGTTAACGAAAAAGAGATAGTTAAAATTATGGACGAATTTTTGGCACGTGAAAATCTCGACATCGACCAGAAAGTACTGTTTACACAGCGAAAAGTCGAATTTCTCGAAGATTTCGGACAATCATCGGCCGAACTACAAGACGCTCAACGATCACTACAAACTGCACTTAGCAAAGCGAACGAAGCCAAAAATAAAACAAGGTGAGAATTTCCTTCAAATTCTATACGATAACACTTTTTTTTTATTTCATGTAATTCACATAAATATCATTTATATCAATCGTTTCAAGTCAACATAAACTATGTCGAATTCAAACCCGTGACAAACAAAAAATTCATATCAATTTTCTATCCAATCGCATTGGTTCATTACTGCCAAACTTCACGGCATTTTCCTTGCGCATCTATTCAATGAAATTCGAAAAGATAACATTTTATTACTAATGTTTTGTTCAATAAACAATAAAGTTTCAACAAACAATGATAACAATAATGAATATTCTCACCTGCCTGATATCCCGGAGGGCACTTGACTGGAGTCGTGACCACATTTCGCTGTAAATTTGAAGGGAAAATTCATTTCAAAACGAAAAACACAATTAACTTAACTGAATTTACCCAATTTTTTTCGCTGAGAATAAATTTGGGTTTGGTTGGTGTTCTTACATTTTCAATGTCATTCACGCTTGAAAGAAACTCGGATGGAACGGCATCGTTGTTTTTCTTCTCTTGCAATGGTTGTGCAATAATTACGCCACTGAGAAATAGGATGCAAAATATGATTGCAGAGTAATGTGCCATCTTGACTGGTGGTGTACAAAAATCAATTTGATTTTAAAGTTAAAATAATTATCAATTTTATTGAATTGCGAAAATCGATAAATATTTCTTACTCATTGATGACTTGAATATTTTCTTGTTGAGAATAGCTTTTTTGCAAAAGTAACAAGCGTGTGTGGAAACGATACTCTTATCGCGTATATGATTAGATACAATTCAATTATATCAAATTCAATGCCATACAAATACCTTTTTACATTTTATTTAATCTCATCAACAATTTAATATGGCTATAAGAAAATCTTAAACAATTTTTTTCGTTTGTTTTTCATTTGTTTACACAGTGAGTCACCGCAAAAGAAGACACCGAAAGATAGCACACAACAGTCAGCATGTACAACTTCAGCAACCTACAATAGTTCATACTACAATTCGGGTAATAATTCCGCTTATTATGGGAATAATCAACAGTATGCCGGTGCACAAGCGTACGGCGATTACAGCAATTATTACAATAATTATAGCAACTACAGCCAATGGAGTTATGGGTGGTAACAAAGCAAATCAATTCAATGTCTCTTCGTTACAAATGAGAATAAAATTTAGAATACTTTTAACATTAAGACATTTCATATTTTTTTAACATTTAAAATTATTTTATAATAAATGAAGAAAAAGAGAAAAGAAATGGCAAACCAATTTCAGCCATGAATTAATGCATATTCAAACGGTTTGTCATTTGAAACAAAAAAAATAATCGACATTTTTTAGCACATTTGTCAGTAAGTAAATTGGCTTCGAAATATACATAAGGAAATAATGATAAAGACAAACCACTTGCAAATTGATTATTAATTGTATAAATTGAGAAATTAAACAGAATATTTTAATTTTTTCGTAAGTATAATAATTTTATTTCATCAAAATAAAAAAAAAATGGCAATCGCCCAACAAAAAGAAACCAAATCATTCAGATTTTTTTCAATTAAAGACAACAAGTACTTTTGATTATATTCTTATCTTTATTTGTTTTAAATAAATCACAGCTTCCACAAAAATTCTTACGTACACATTCTTGAAATTTAGAACAACAACCGAAAAAAAACCTCTTCCACATGAGTGTAATAAATGCATATTTGTTTCTTTTGCTTTAACAAATTTTAAGCATCATTTTTTTTTTCAGACTATTTCTAAAAATAATTGTTCAGTCATATTTTAACGTAATGATGTATCGTACTAAATAAACAATAAAAACATGTGGGGAATGCATCAAACTATAATACAAATGTTTTGTTAATAATATTCCGTTTGTAGATTTAGAAAAATGTAACAAAAACAATTGAAAACTAAGCTATACTAAAAATGATTCGTTCAGTTACGCTGAAATGGATTTATAACAGATAGTCTTTGACACCTGAATATGCACACGTGTCGATGTGTCTATAGAGTTGCTTTGAGAATTTTCGCTTCAGTTAGTTCAAGTAAAATTAAAATAATTCATAAATCGTTTTCTTTTCAATTAGAAAACTGAATTGCTTCTAAGGTGACCACAGAGTTACCATTTAAAACACAATTTTTGGATTCAATTTCTATACAGTAGCTGTTTAAAATGTTCACTTTCAAAAGTGACGAAAAAATTTCTATGAGTTTTCATTAACAATATATGGTTCTAATAACATTTATGAAATGAGCAAGCCCATCATTCATTGCATTCTAGTCGTTTGCAATTGCGCTATATAGGTATAGGAGGTTGCAAATGTGCATGCAAGAAACTATTATGTTGTTGTTTGTATCAAAATTATTTGTAATCATATTTCGACTTTGTTTGATTCTCAGCTTGAACCAAGCAGTTACAATGAGAGGAAAATGTATTGTTGTTAGTGAGACAAATGGTACACTAGCATCATTTTTATCTCTTCTTCTTTGATCAAATTTTGAATTGAAATGCTGTGTATTTTGTTGAAGATTTTAAGCGTTTATGATTTTATACAAGTGTTTTGGCATTTGGTTTCTTTGCCATTTCGTTTAATCCATTCATCTGATCCGTCACAGCAATCACAATAGCCATCGTTGACAAATGAACTTGGAATCGAAATATCACGACCACGACCAGTTAGATGCCTAATCATGTTGGAGGGAAACATTGGTTGTGTGTCATTATAATTTTTTGGTTCCGTTTTTTATTTTACATTTACCTTTTTTGGTATGTGCAATAGAATACGCCATTCGAACATGCATTTGTTTCTGGTTCATCACTGCCATCCTCATCACAATCACAATAGTCATCGTTCACTTTGTCCATCGGTATTTCTTTGCCTGTTCGGATGCAGAAAAATTTATTACGCACCACCGGATTATACAGATCATAGTCCTTGTATCTTATTCCCCTGCAAAATGAAATGTGACACAGTGTCAATACATATAAGTAAATAACGAAAATGAATAAATAAATAAATAAATATCGTCGAAAATGATTTACCGAAGAATTCGTTTTGTTTCCTTGTTCGAATTTGATTGCACCGGCACAATATATGGTTTGTGTTCGACTTCGGTTTGAAGTTGTTTAATGTAAAAAACTTGATATGCAAAAAACACTACCGCCATTACAAATACGCTTAGCAATGTCATTTGCAATTTCTTTTTATAAAATGGTTTGTGATACAAATTTTCCTTTTTTATCCATTGTTTTCGCATTTTTCTATTTGCTCTTCTGTAAATTTATTTAAAAAAAAAAGAAAACAAAAACAACAAAAAACAACAAATCACAACACCGTTCTCGTTAAAACTATTGGAAAAAATATTGTATACGTTTAATGTACATAACAGAATATTGACACTTAAGTGTCAAATGGGTATAAATGTATTGGTGATTGTTCAGCCGACACCGATGTGCGTTTAAAATCGTACGAAATGTTTGCGGTTGAATAGAAAACATTGAGTGTTGCCGTATTAATTATTATATTTAAAAACAAAATGAAGGAAAATAATTTAAAGAAGACAAATGATGTTGAACTCACCGAAGATGTATCATTCCGTGATATGATGTTTTCGGATCAAGTGCTCGCTGGTCTTAAAAAATGTAATTTCGAAAGACCATCTCCAATTCAATTACGCGCCATTCCCATTGGACGTTGTGGACTAGGTAATTTTACGGCAATTTTTCATGTTTACATTTTAATTTACAAAGATGCCTTTACATTATACAGATTTAATTATACAGTCGAAGTCAGGTACGGGCAAAACATTGGTCTATTGTACAATAATACTTGAACGATATAAACCAGACATAAAAGCACCACAATCACTGATTGTCGTTCCAACACGTGAAATTGCATTACAGATCGAAAACTATTTACAATCGGTTGGATCACATTGTTCAGGTATGTGACACAATAAAAATTCATTTTACATTGAAAATGTTTGTTATATTTTGGTTTATTTCAATCCATAGGATTTAGTGTGGCATGCGTAATTGGTGGCCGTGACATTGTTGAAGATCGAAAACGTATCAGTAAATGTAAAGCAATCGTTGGAACACCCGGCCGAATTTTGCATTTAATCAAAAATAATTATGTTTGTATGAAAAATATTCAAACGTTTGTACTGGATGAAGCTGATAAATTGGTGTCCGAACAGTTTTATGGTGACATCAATAAATTTTTGAATGCATTGAATAAAAATCGACAAATAATTGCGTCCAGTGCAACATACGAGGATAATTTGGACAAATTGATTGTATCATTCATGCATAATCCGATTGCAGTCTCTACTTCGCGTGATACACCAGTTTTAATCGGTGTCAAACAATTTATATTACCAGTTGGTGAATTTGATTTGTCACCATCTGTTTGCAACTCAACGCCATCGATTCAAGAAATGTGGCGTAAGGTAGCCGCCGTTGAATACATTCTCAGCAAAACATCGTTCAAACAATGTGTTCTTTTTTCGAATTCACAACTTCGTGCCACAAGTTTTGCCAACTATTTAACGCAAAACGGATGGACTGTTGAACTAATTTTGGGTTCACAAGATCAAGAAATGCGCTCGACCACATTGGAACGATTTCGGTACGTATTCGTATTGTATTTTGACGGTTTTGAAACAATCATTTTTACATATCTTTCAATCACTTTTTTAGGCAGTACAAGTGTCGAATACTGGTCACAAGTGATTTGATGGCAAGAGGTGTTGACATTGTAAATGTCAATCTGGTAATAAATTTGGACGTTCCAACTGATTGTTCAACCTATTTACATCGCATCGGACGATGCGGCCGATTTGGAAGACGTGGTTTGGCCATCACTTTATCCAGCGATGAAGGTGAAATGGAAAAATTTCGTAAACTCCTTGGGACAATCGGTGGTAGTAATATGAAAGTGGCCAATTTTCCAATTACACTGAATGGTGTCACCAACTTTGATGCATGGAACTCAACCGACGATTGTGGTTCACACATTTTTGGTTTAGTCGATACTAATAATGAAAAAACGGAAATCGATGTGAATTCAAAAGAGCAACAAAAATTAAACCACCACATCGAAAAGGATGCAGTTGAGAGCAAAAATTTAAAGTTACTGGAAGTGGCAAAGCTGTTAATTGATCACAATTCGAATGAAAATGATGAGCTTGTAAAGATTGATGAAGATTTATTTTCAAGCTTTCAAAATAGTAACCATACAGAGTGCACAAATCAAACCGAATTTACAATTTCTGATGATATTTTCGAAGATTTTGCACAATTTCAATGCAATGGCATCGCCAATGAATCGTCGGAAATGGTCAACGAAAAGTTTGATGACGGAGAGGTCACAGACACGAATGCTGAACCTATTCTGGAATCTTTGGAACAGGAGAAGGATGAAGAAAATGTACCTAATGAAAATAGTCATGTAATATCACCATCATTACCAAGTGACAGTATGCCCAAGATGACAAAAGCTCCGGAAAAACAAAAAGACAAAAAAATTCACAAAAACCGTTCAAATTTTGAAGAAGAATACGGTGCCAGTTGTTATGGAATACCAGCTGCGAATGATTTTTGGATGCAAATCTATTGGCAACAAATCAACGATATCACGCGTCGGTCGGCGTACCCATTAGAGTGAAATAAATGTATTTTACTTTTTACTTGAAATTATGTAAATAAAAACTTTATTTAATAAAATTTGATAAACAAAATTAAAAATGATTAACTTTTGGATTTGTTTGAAATCAACTATGATAATTTTCAATTTCTCGACCGCTTCCATTACAACATTTTGCCAGCCGACACCGTAGATCTTCCATGCAAAGTTCGACATCTTCGGTGATTTCTTTGATTTTGACACGAATATCTTCTCTAGCGATTTGATAGCACATCGCAACTAGTCCCATGCCAAATAAAATGTATGTAAATAAAATGATAAGTTTTGTATGATTTTCACTTTGTGTGTCTGGGTTTGTGAAGAATGGTATGGTTGCATTTATACTCGTTCCTGGCACATAATCTCCTATTCCGATTTTACATAGGCTCGTTACACAGAAATACACGGCATTTTTAAAGTCCCAACTTTCTAAATACGAAAACATTCCGGCACCAAGTAAAATATAAACAGACATCACCCATACGCATGCCGATGATGGTACGATAATTTTCTTTCGATTTGGCATCGATCCATCCGTTTCTTGGCTGCATTCGTGTAGTTTATGATATAACCAACGAAATGTTTTCGCCAACACTTTGCCAATATTTAAAAAATATAAAATATAGAGTGGAATTCCGAATGTTGCATAAATAACAGTTGTTGCTTTTCCCCATTCCGTTCGTGGTGTTAAATTTCCATAGCCTATCATCGAAAATACCGATAAACAAAACATGAGCGCCGCTGGAAATGACCAAATTTGCTTCAACGTACGTCCGTCATAGCCTTTTTTAATCATTCCCACCAAAAAGTTTTGATAATCCAACAATTTTTCATTCATTTGATTTCGCCAAATGGTTTCGTTTATACCATTGTTTTTCAATGCCAGCTTATACAATTTACTCGCATACTCATTTCGCATTTGTTTCACTTCTTCTCCATATGTGATATTTGGTTGTTTTTCGTCTGTTTCAATTGAAATAAAACTGGCTGCACCAACTAAAGCGTATGCCACAATTAGACCACCAACCCCAACTTGTGTGCACATGAATGCAATTGTTTTTCGACAAAAGTCTTTGCATTTTTCCTTTCGATTGACACTTCGAAGGGATGATTGTGAACCGTTGCTACGAACTGACCACCGATTTTGACGATTCATATTTGTTTGAAAACCAATCGTTTGATCGTGATAATTTTTATTTTACTATTTTATATGAATATTACACGAATTTCAAATATAACTAATATAGTTTGGAAACATGGCACCGTTTTTTTTACTCTCTCGACTCATCATATTCTGTAATGCTAAATTTAGACTGTTCCGACGCAATCGTGGAATTTGTATAAAAATAACGTAAATATGCTTCAGTAGTATTAGTAGAAAGTAACAACGTTGTGTGTTGTTCTTTTTTTGGGTTTCATTTCTCCGACCTTTAGATGTAGTTTGGATTAATCAAAACAAAAATATCGACTACCAAAAACATACAAACAATTTTATATTCAACAGAATGTTTATTGTGAAACGAATCAACAACAGAATCAAATAAATTGAAAATAAAACGAGATAAAATGCTGTTTCAGTTTAGTGGTTTTTCAATCGTCCCATTCGTCGTTATCGGAAGATTCTTCCTCTTCGTCGGATGATCGAAGCACTCGACTTCGTTCTTGTAATGCTCTTCGTAGTGCGTCGGCCAATGCATCCGTACCTCGGTTACAGGAATCTCGTTGTCCAGTTAGCTCGCGTTCAGCTGCTGGTTTTAGTTCGACACCTTGTCGTATTTCAGACAGCAGTTCGTTTCGAGCATCATTGCCGCCGCCACCACTACCTGTACTTAACGTAGCCGGATCAACCTTACGCAATGTCGTTCCTTTTCTAATACTATCCATGAGAGCACTGCGTGTATCGGTTGGTGGTGGAACTGAAATAGAAATGATATTTTTTTTATTTCAATGTGATGAACATCAACGTTTGAATTCGGAAATATTTAAAATTACCGGACAAAGTTGGTGCGACCGCAACCGGATTTGCTTGATTGGCCAATGATGGTAAAGTGTTCAATGGTGGCGGAGGCGGTGGTGGAGGAGGTGGTGCTGGAATGTGTACAACTGTGGCTGCTTGTGATTGCTGTAAATGATCAAGTAAAGTGTTGAGTAAGTGTAAATGTAGAAGTAAATTGGTCAGAGTTGTAATACCTGAATTTGTGGATCAGATATGGGCGGTGGTCTTCCCGGGCCAACTCTTGATTGTTTGGGCAGCTGTGCTGGTGGCTTTGTGATATTGGCACTCGGCGGAGGTGGTGGTGCAATTCGTTGAGTTGGATTCTTTTGAAGCGAAGACGAACAATTAATTTCAACAAATAATTCTAAAGTTAAAATGGTAAAAGAGACACTCTTACGTTTCGTGTTGGAACTGGTGGTGGTGTGTGTTGTTGCTTTTCCGATTTCACCGAGTCCAATACATTGTGACTCTGAATAAAATCGTATATATATGCACGTGTATCGCGATCATTCAATTGTTGCTCCGACACACCGGCTTTCTTCAAAAATGTATCCAAACTGTTCACTTCTTCGCTATTTAATTCAAATCGTTTGCTGTCATTCCATCCAACGTGTGCCAAATGCTTGAAATTTGTTGGCTGTGAGATGTCTGCCTTTGTTAGCTTACGATTTGGTCTCTTTTTGTCACGAATTCCAGTTGTTGACTGCGACATTTGCGAAAATTGTGTCATTCCTATTTGAGATTAAGGGAATTTTATATGTTTAATTCATTTTTAGCTCCACAGCATACTATGTGATATTTTAAAAAAAAGAAATACTACTTCATAAAAACGTACCCGTCGAATTTTGATTTCTTAGCACAACGCCCGAATCGTAGCCAATATCTTGACTGCCATCTGTTTTGGTTGGTGAAAATTTTCGACTGCGCCGTTTCTTTGATCGATTCGCAATTGTCGTTGAGACCGATTTGTAGAAATGATGTGCCTCTTCATCGGATGCAAAACTCAAGGCCACCATACAATCCTGTTTATTGAGTAAAAAGGACAATTTATTCATTCACATTCATTCCATTCATGGAAAATGGTTTACCTGGCCTTCAAAGTTGATTAGAAATTCGCGTGGTTTGCCAACCATAATCGAATCGTACATTTCTTCTTCCCAGACAAGTTCGTGTTTCATCATGCAATAAGCTCGAATAAAGTATGATCGTTTCGAACTGTCTCGAACAAAACAGGCGATGCCACTCAAACGTTTTATCCATGCTGAATGGGCGGGCGCTTCAGTTGTGAACAATTGAACCACTGCTGTGCTCAGCGTCTTTAAATATATATATAGTCAGATTAATTTAATCGATTACTTTTATTTTGCTCAACTCTCTCCCTCTTTCTATCTCCATTCCAAATACAAAATCAATATTCGCATACCTGACAACGACGACCCAATAAGGAAAACACCAAATCGTTTTCATCTTGAGAAAGTAATTTACTTGCTTTATTTATGCGTTGTTTTTCGTTTTGTTGTTTCATATTGGCACAATAACAAAATTTCTTTTCTTTTTTCGAATCAAAAATTGTCACACACACATATACACAATTTTAGATTGAAAAAAGATAAAAATCAAATCGAAATCAAATCTAATCAATGTTCAATTTATATTATCCACTAATTGAGTCACGCCACAAAATATTTTGCAATCATGGAATGAATCAGAAGACAATTATCAATTCACTGTGGTCTTATTGTTGATGTCATTCATAGTTTTTCCATACCACTTCACTCGTATTGTCGTTTTGCCTTCATATAAACAGTGGGAGTTTTTATTTTGTCGATGTGAAAGTATTTGTACTTCACAATGGAAGACAATCGCAAGAGGGCACTACTCTCTATGTTTGATTTTGTCACGTCACTTGTAGAACCCTAAGCGCGAACAATTTAAGATTCATATCATTTTAAGATTGATAATTATTTTTGAAACGAAATTGTCTTTGATTTTGACGTTTCGCAATTTTTTTTTTAATCGATCAAACGATTTTTATAACTTTTTTAATGATTTTCAAGCAGCACTTCTTTGTTTAATCGTCCCATTCGTCACTGTTCTCATCGGAAGAAGACCCAGTGCGTTCGTCCTCAGAATACATGAGGCCGTTGGCGTTGAAGATGTACATGTATTTATTTCATTTTGTATTCTATGCCATGAAAATCAATAAAAACGCAAAAGAATACTTTTAATTTCCAATAAAATAAAAATATCAATTTCGATCACATAAACGAAACAAATAGATCACATGAACAAAATACATAGTTTATCTAGTACAACAACCAAAACATAGCAAATACACAGAATTAGTGTAAAACGGCGACGGTGGCGGCGACCGTGTTGAATTTCTCTCATTTTGTGATGACAGCTAAACAGCATCTCGACAATTCATCGTGTTTGTAGGAGTTTTTTGCGTATTTGGAAACGAAATTTTATCTTTTATTGTGAAACATTTTATTTGTTTGTCTCATTGAAAATAAAATATCAAAAATTTCATCAAAACTGGTTGAAGTTGAGTGACTAAAAAAGGTTATATTCCCATTTCCATATAACATATGAACAGAAAGTTTTGGCACAAAATTCAGGCGCTTTTTGCGCTTCATAAACCAAATCAAAAATGTCAACCAATGCACATAGGAGACTTAACGGGATTCCTACTCCACTGTCAAACCCAATTTGCAGAAAAATTTCCAATCGCGATGGCGTACAAATTGAATTTACGAAAAAGTGTCTCAAATGGTTTTGGCGAGCTAAGTTCAAAACAAATTCTGCATGTGTCTAAAGATGAACCAATCTATCTTCGAACCATGTATCGTGTTTCATGGACTTAGTATGAAAATGAGGATTCTAGAAAAAGCAAAAATTACGGTCGTATTCCCAATTTAAATGCTTGAACCCTTCAAAATTGTCATCAAGTACCGAAAATCGGGTTGGTCAAGCAAAAATTAACTTTTGGTGATTATTATGGTTACAGCACATCCAAATTTGAACCAAAACAATAGATTTGGACACGATCATTAGGAATCAGCAAAATAAGTGACGAACAATGCGATATTCTTTATTAATTGTATGTTGACAATACACCACATTCGTTTCTTTAATTCCGTTTCAAAACCACACTCTTTCACTGCAAATCAAATACTAAATAAAAAATCTTTCTCTGCTAGCTATATTCTAAAGCAAAAAAAAAAAACTATTCTACAACGCTACGTCTTGAATCCTGCCGATATGGCACACCAACCAAAAAAATCTGACACAGCATTTCGGAACAATACAAAAACTTCACAACTCATAAAACACTCACGATAGTCATTGAAAAATTACATAATTTGAAAAACCGATATTTTATGAAAATATGAAACAATTCTATTAAGAACAATAATGAAATGCATCGATTTATTCGTTTTTCTTATATTTCAAAAGTAAAAACAAATCGTTATGCTTGCTGTATTCACAGCGATGCATTTTAATTTGAAATCAGCAACATTGTCGACGCACGCTTTTTTTTAATACCGACAACGATCTTAATCCACACACAAACAAATTAAATCTCAAAACTTGTTGTAAAGTGTCCAAAATCGTATGGCACACGTTCCAAATTATAGATTCAAAAATCCAATCCTTTTCATTGTTGCTGCTTACAAACAACATCGATACTCAAAAACGATTTACAAAACAAAACAAAACAAAACAGTGGTGTTTATTTTATTTCCGAGAACCGATTTCGGTGTCGCCACACAATGCGCTCTGTTCATGATGTTTTACAGTACAAATCTGACGAGAATACAAACACACGCACACATCTTCTATGAACATTTCATCTTATTGCCCGCTGTGTCAGATTCTGTTACACTGTTTGTTATTTAAAATAGCGCGAAATGGTAGATAACAAACGAGAAAGATGCTAAGAAAGCATTTAATAGAAAATGAACTTTGATTAATTACCGAATTTATTCGGTAGAAGCCAACAAAGAAATTTTAGATGACATTTTTTTGTCAAACATATTTATTTTTCAATAGTGGTTTGTATTTTCAGTGCTGATATCCAAAACTCAATTTAGTAGGACACCCTAGTGTACACACATTTATATAGATAACAGTTTGTGAGTGCGATGTCTACTATGAGCGCGCACCTCCAGTGTGAAAAATTCTGATCTGTAGTAGGGCAAAAATCTCAGATTGAAATCATTTTCATATTAGTTTTCATTTTACGTTGTTCATTCTAGACATGAATCGTTGCGGCGAAAGAGGAGCTCTTATTTTTCTCCAAATAATACTGCAACATGAAGTTTTTTTCACACGGTTTATTTGTTGTAATACAACAAATAAACTATTCATAAAAAAGTTTATGTTGCAGTATTATTACATATTTTTTTAAAATAAAAGTAAAACTGATTTAAAATCAGTGATCCAAAGTTTCTATATTTTTTGTTTCTTCTAAATTGTTTGGTTTTTTCGTTTTCGTTCACTTTTTAAATATCTTATCTTGTTTAAAAAAAATTCATTCTTATTTTTTCAGAAATGGAAAGAAGTCAAAATAAAGTTATTCGGCTATTTTCTTGGGAGGTACGGTGAATGAAACACGCAGACAACTAATTGGTTTATTTACGTTCTACAAAAATATCTTCATATAAATAAATAAGTATCAAATTGAAGAAAAAAAAACTATTTAAGGTCTTAATAAATGTTTGTTTGTTATATTTTGAGATGTTATTTCGCTTTTATTTGCCATTCTTTTTCGATCCATTTGTTCGCATTGATTGAATTTTCTTTTTCTTTTTATCACTCGACCAATCCGCATCATCTTCATCGTCACTAATATTATTGCCAAAGTAATTATTTCCATCACGAGAATTGGCTATTCGTCGACTCGCAATTCTCGATGAATTACGTCCGATTCCTGCAAATAGTACGGCATAAAATATCTGTTTTAAAATTGAAAATTAAATTTTCCTCATACCCATGCATTTTTCCAAATGTGGCGCAAAACGTGATGATGCCACAGGCCGGTCACAATTTGGACATGTACAATCTACAGCTTTCTTGGTATTTGTCGAACCAAATACATCCATATCGGGCATGTCTACAATACTGAATCTGTTTTTGAGAAGAAAAAAAAAACGCATTTTGAGCAGAAAATCCAAAAATGCATGATAACTGATTATGATAGAAGTTAAACGCACTTAGTTGGATCTTCAGGTTCACCCTCAATTGCAACATCGAGACCTGTTTTGTGTAAATAGTGTAATTCGAATACAACTCCCATAATGGTTTCGTCAACTAATGAATTATACAGATAATTTGTTGCGCGTTCTAGATTTGCCGGATCACACATGTGTTTCTTAAAATCTGCCAGTAGCTCTGTTTCACTTGCATATTCAATTTGTGAACTTGAACCTTCATTCATTTTATTTTTTATTTCACCGATGATTTTCTTTTTATTTTCAAAATATTGAATAGGAAACGTTTTTAAGAAATATCGCTTTTGTACCACACTGTTTAATACAATTACCAAACTAATTTCAAATAGAAAAAAAAACTCCTAATATTTAATATTTCATTTCCACCCCCAAATGCTTTTTGTCTCGAAATGTAATGAGAAAAAAATTAAGAAAGATGTTTATTTGTATCTTTTTTTAGTACATAACAAAACAGTATGTTGAGGTTATGTTGAGTTTCTATTTTGACAAAACTATGTCTCGTTAACACTTTGAAATCATTTTCTGTTTATATTTTATGAAATCGGTTATTTTGTGAAACAAATAATACTCACCTATTTCTTAATTGCGGAAAATTTTCAAGTCGTAATATGTATAAGAGGAAATTAACATTGAATATTTTTCAATGGTTTAAAAAAAAATGTTCAAGTAAATATCGCAGATTTATACTAAAAACAGAGTTAAATGTATTGTTTACTAAATGTCAGTTGTGCGCCACCTGGAGCATTTAAGTTGATGTTTTAAAACCAAAGTTTTCAGTTGTTGCAATAATACATCGTATAAATGTTGATATTTTCACAATGGATAGTGGAAAGAAGGAATCAAACGATTCGCCGGATTTAAATAGTAATATTAGTAGTACAAATAGTATTGATGATAAATTGTGGCAATGGAAACCATGGTCAATCAGACGAAATGAATACCAAAGAACTGCATACAAAGCAGATCAATCGGGTGATTTTGAAAAGGCCATTTTGTACGACAGTAAAGCGCTCAGTTGTGGATTTGTTGGCACTTTTTTGAACGAAAATCGAGCGGCTGAAGGAAATGAAAACGAATTAATTAGCCAAACAATCGATTTACAACAAAAGACGGGAAATGTTTTGATTGATTATTTATCGGAATATTTGGAAAATGTCGTGATCAATGATACAACGATAGAACCCGCTCCTGCAACAGATGATCAAACTCAGTTTAATGATTTGCATACCAAATGTGCTCAATTACCAAAAGAATGGAATGTGATTCAGTTGAGTCAACTTTATAATGGATACAATAGATATGCTACCAAAAGAGATATGTACACCAGTGATGCTCCCATAAGAATAACTTTATTTCGTGATAGCGTATCGGAGAAACGGGATAACCGTCCGACCAACATCATTCTCGATTGGCTTGAATTTGGCGAAGAAAGTGTAAGTAAAACATATATCAAAGTTATATAGAACTAATAAATAACATTTTAATTATACTACAGATATTATCAACATCGTATAAGGTGCATGAGGTGTTATACGAAAACTATACTTCACACATGAATACAGAGAACTATAGTTCATTTATGAAGGAGTTGAAAACAGCACAATCGAAATTGGTGGATGATATGATATCATGGCTTGGACCGTGGATCACCCTCCTGTCCGGCAAAATCAAAGGAAAAGATGGAGAGAATTTTGAGAAAAAATTATTCGAAGACGTTGAAATATTTGGCAAATCGCAAAAGTTCACCAACGATCAGATTACGTATCTTAGTTTAATGGCGCGCCGCATTGATTTACTGGAAAATGATGACTGCGAGCAAGCGGGTCGTTTTATTGCTCGTAATTTCGCCGAATGTACACAAATAAAAAACTTTTTAATTGATCTTAAAAACAAAACCACGATCGAAGACTTTGAATATTATCCATGCATTTTGGTCATCGATGAGATATTGGATCCATTGCCATGGGAAATGTGTTTGACTTCACAAGAGTTCACACGTATGCATTCGATATATTTTTTATTTGATCTGTACGAAAGATACAAAGACCAAATTAACGATGGTTATCTTAAAATTGATGTGAAAAATGGATTGGCCATGATAAATCCAAATGACGATGAGAAGCTGGCACACATGTGCGAACGAATGTCATCATACTATAAAGATTTTTTGCCAAAATGGAAACGTATTGAAAAGGAGGTGCCATCACCAGAACAATTTACCAAATGTTTAACAGAAAATGATGTATTTGTTTATTCGGGACACGGTAGTAGTCTACAGTTTTTCGCCACTCACGAATTCGAAAATATAAAACAAAATTGCATTATGATGTTGTTTGGTTGTGAATCGATTGCAATGCAACCACGAGGTACAGTTTGCGAAGCCACTTGTCAGTCATATGTTTACTTTAAAAATGGATGTCCGGCACTTTTGGGTGCACTTACAATTGTCACAGATGTTTGGGTTGATCTCATCACAATTTGTATACTTACACAATGGGTTGTGCCAATGCAAGAAAAACATCCCACAATCGAAATATGCAAAGATGAACGGTCGAAAGAGCACATTCGAAAAATACTGCTGAAATCCGAGGGTAAACGAAATCCAAATTTACTCGCATTGCTGTGTGAAATTCGCAACGAATCGAGCATATCATTTGGCATTCGATCGGCTATGGTTTTTAGAGGATTACCACCTTACAATACATCAATGGAAAAATAATAGGAATCGAATAATTCAGAACAGTGCAAATATTGTTTGAGTCGTTGAGAACAAAATTGGCCGAAACAGCGATTTCTCGGTTATCATAAAATCTCAAAATTTGCACGAAGGCACTTTAATTCGATCACTTTTCAGAAATTTACTTAAAACATCCATGAGAAAATGCGATTTCGGTAGCTCCTCATTTTATTCTCAACAGCTCAATAAACTTTCAAAAGGAATAATGTACAAAACCATAAGTCATAAGTCAAATAAATAGTCAATAATTCATTTAGCATAGCATTATTTTAATAAATATAAATGATTTTTTTTTTAAATGGAAAATCATTAAATAATTGCCAAAAAATTCAAAAAATATTTATAAAAAAAAAAACACAAATTTCAAAGCGATATAATTTAAAATTGAAGAAAAAAATATTTAGAAGTTTATTAGCTGAACATTCAACTTACTGGCGAGTGCCTAAATTTATGTTATTTTAAAAGTTTGATTAAATCAAGTCAGAAATTCTAATTTGAATCTTTGAAAGCTTTATAAGAAAGAACGAGCTGCAGAACATTGAAAGGTTTGTGTTACCTGTATGTTACTTGCGTGTAATGGTAAGGTTGTAAGTACAACTTGTAACAGTACAAATTCTATAAGTGGAAATGAAATAATATCCTTGAATTTTAATATAAAATGTTGTTCTTTATTCATATTATCTTTTAAACTCACTATTGTATTGAATAAATAGGGGGTCATCAAAATCGTCTACGATTTAAATACCTGTTTATGTGCTAAACGTTTTTTTTTACAAATTTTGATTAGGCCATTTAAAATTGATGAACATTTGTTTTATATACTTTCTAGCTCTTATACGAAATAATCCAGTCGATTAAAATCTATATTCACAGGACAATTTTTTGCAAACAAAAATAGATTGCTATTCTGTTGTCGTTGTATTTGTTGTAGTAATAATATAAAAAATTATATACATACGAGTTCGTTCAGTGAATATATTAATTATTTAATCGCATTATTTTAGTTTGTGAGTAAATAATCTAAATTAAATGCATACAATCATAGTCTAATTTTTTTATTTTTCCTGGCACACCTTTTGGTACGTGAGTTGTGTAACATGAAACATATCAATATCCAGTGTATGCTTTGCGAAACATCTATTTGTCATATATAAATTATATTTCAATTTGTTTACAGAACAAAGAACAAGTGAAATCATTTGATTTCATAAACATAATTCGAATTTTGTGCTTGTGCATTTATTGTCAGGTGTCATTTTGCCAAGCCTGCATTAAGATGGCTGAGACATTCTTGTGTGTGTGTGTCTTTTTTTTTTTTAAATAATAATGTTAAGCTAATTAAAAAATTAGTCGTCATGTTGGCACATCCTAGCATCCCCATGAATTCCCTTTAACCATCGGCGGCAACAAGGAAGAAAGTTTATATAAAATTATTCCATGTTTTTCTTTTAAATTATAGCAGACATTGAAACTTGGTAGCTAGATAGCCCAGCTATATTGATAAAAGGTGGATATTTCAATTTAATACTCGTTATTTATCAAAAACTGGCTCTGATGACTTGCTAGCCGGTCGCAATGTTTGAATTGTAATATAATATGTTTTCATCAAATAAAAATGGCTTGAATTTGGGTTGTTTTTGTCATCACTGGCGAATGCAAACTTTTGATGAGTTTTGTGGAACTTTTTGGATGAGTTGTGTTTCATTCATTAGATTGAATAATTTGATTTCATAAGATTCAATATTGACTATTCATAAGATGTGATATTCATGGATATATGGAAACAAAAAAGGTTTCCGACTTATACAGTTGCTTTCTTTACACATTTATAAGTTATTTGGAATTCATATTTAATAACAAATTTGTTTCCTATCTAATAACTAAGTAGCTTTTTATTCTTTAATTTATTTGCTAACAAAATATCTTGATACATTTTTCTTGTTTATTTATTTCATCCTCATAATACGCTCTATAGATATATCTTTGTTTTTAGGTGTTTTGTATTTAAAAAGAGTTAGTACATTTCTAGATGTATATAAATTGATAAAATTGATTCCAATTTATAAATGAAATTAAGAAAATTGACGGACTTCGAATTTCTATATTCAATTGTTTAAAGGCGATTTATCATTTTTGCGATTTTATTCGCAGCTCTAAGTGTTTTATACTATCGAAATTAATGTGCAAGCGTTCTTTGAATCTCAACAATTCAACGAAGATCACCACGATTTGGTCAATCTGATTTTATTTTTATTTTTGTCTAGCTTCAACAACGGCATACAAGTGTCGTAGAGAGAAGAGTAACATTATAAACGAGGTTACTGGTACATTTATTATTCTATTTGTCTGTTTTAATTGTTTTACCAACAACACGCGGCCAAATCTAAATATTATTAAAATCTAGCTCTTATCTCATTATCTAACAAAAAAGAAAACAATATACAATGAAATATTAATTGAAAATGCCTAAATCTATATCTAAGTATACTATATATACTGTATATATATGTCTAGGTTCATTTTTTATGTACAATTGTATGCTTTCATGAGTGATAAAACCATTTTGATGGTAAAACTATATCCTTAAGTGTATTGAGTGCGCTGGCATACCAATGAATACCTCGCGGCAATTCGGTGTCGATGTCATTGGTAAAGCCAAGCATCTCTTCTATTCGGTGCAGCGATCGCATCGGCATGAAGCTCACATGAGCAAGGGAATGTTTTTCGACTAGAGCATAACAAGATGCTGCTATTGAATTTACAACTATCGTACCATCGTATGTTAGTGGCGCATAAACACCTCTGTGTAACTCTTGTGTAATTTTTTTGATGCGTCGCGGTTCAAGCGTTCCATTTATATTAGCCAACACAAAATCGCCTACTTGAATTAATTCGGCAAAACGAAAATCGGCTGTATTTATATTGTTGGCCGCAACTGGATTCACATTTGTTTGCCACGTATATATTAAATGGCTTGGTGTTGCTGTTATTGCATAACCATCATCAGTTTCAAATCGAATAAATTCTCGCCTCTGCTGTTCATCGCGATCCAAAAACATGTAAACTTCGCTGTATTTAAGTTGACCATCACTATCCATACTTAATACATGATCACCTATTCGAAGTTCGCTAAGCAGACGAGTTTCACCCTTGGCCAATTGAACAGTACTGTCGCCAGTAAAGCATCCTGTTTGATGTGCTTGTTGCGATGAATCTGTGGAGAAGCGAAAAAAAAAAAACAGAACATTAGACATAATGATACAGAAAAAAGAAGTCGGTAAAAGCAAGCGAGCCAACAAGAACAAAAATCATTACATATCAAGCACAAAGACTTTCGCGTGAATGAATATCGAACGACTTTAAGTATTATGCAAAGAAAATTCGAAAATTATTCAATGTTCATACAAAACAAAAAAGAAGAAGTGATGACACTGAGCCATTGTGTAATCAAAAAGAAAGAAAAAAAAAACGAGCAGCTAACATCTGAAGAGCCCGTCATTAATCAAAAACTGTTAGTTGCTACTCAACCAAATTTTCAAAAACTACATGCACATTCCGATTCATCCCATTTCTTTTTTCATTGTATGTCTTCGTCTCACTTTTTTTTAACTCTGTTACCTTTCAGTCGTCCGTAATATGAGAAATCATACATATCGATTTACATAAATATGTAATTTATACCATACAACAATATAGATAACCACAAATATTTTTGACCAAGCGCATTTATAACAAGATTTACGCTAATGCATACAAAAGCGACATTCAATTGAAGAACATACCAACCATTCAGGACTTTCAGCACACACATAAAGACCGAAGAAAGAGAACCGAAAAGGAAGAAGAAATGAAGAATGAACGAAAAACGAGAGACAAGAGGAAACCAGCATGTTTTGACATGTTTTGGTTGTGTATGTCAAATTAAACTTATTAATGATACGACACCCAATGTGATTCCCAAAAAAAAGATGAAAGAATATATGTGGATAAAAAAAGGCAATAAAATACATTGCATTTCGAAATATACGCAAATCTCAACACTCAAGCACACAAACACAGGGAACTGCTGTTGCTGCTGACACAAACACACGAAATCAAAGTAAATATTTTAGAAGATACAGCGTCATGTAACCAAAGATCATGTGTAAACCTTTTCTTGGCGATGTTTGGCTTTACCGATGCTTTACATGGTTTTTACTCGTTATTTCTTTTATTTTCTTCTTCTAAAAGCGAAAAATCTTTAGCGCATTCGAAAGATAGACAAAAATCGGGTTTCATTCAAGTGATTTTAGTGGAAAATAATGCGCAAACGATTCGTAGAAAATTAATTTCGAAACAGGATGCGTGTCTTTTGGGGAGAAGACATTTGCAGTCTTAAATTTAAGAGTTCAATGGTTATTGTCACACAATCGAAATGTCCTATTCTCAGCAAGCATATATCCTATGGATATGCTCTGGATGGCAGCAGCGCTGAGTGAAACTCTCGTTTTATTGAAGCTATCGGTGTAGTTTGTATCAAAAGATGAGTTTTATTCGATGTGACCTACAATTTAGTACAATTGTTCGATTAAGATTTGTGTCAAATACCATGGAAGAACTTTTTCCATATCGTAGAACAATCTACGTTAATAGGCATTAGTGCAGAGGATCTGAGATCCGTAGTGACTGATGCAGAATATGAATTGGATAAAAGTGGAATCAATTATCGTGAAGCTGGAAATCACTTTGTAAGATTTTGTACTATCGTTGAAGCTAAAATAAATAAAACATGTCGGGCCTACAAATTAAAGATTTTTATCATTCGCATATTTCGAGTGCAAAGTTCTCATTCAGCGGTTGGATGAGAAAAATAAAAACTATCGGTAAAGAATTTGATAATTATCAAAGAGTGTTCTTTCGTCGATGAAGTGAATTGCAATTTCATTCGATGAGGATGTGTTTCCCTCACACTGTGAGGCTCAAATGGCCGAAAACCAAGATAAATGTTTTTAAGAACAAGAACATGAGTTGACTCGTAATTTTTCTTTATTTTTTTGGTTATGGTTTTTTTTTTTGCTTTTTGACAATTTTCTGGTGACGAGCATGGTTAAATTCCAAAATTTCAATATTTTCACGCCTATGGATTTGTTGCGGTTAATGTTGAAAATTCCCGCGGTGTAAAGATCTTGCTTGTTGTGCTTCTTCTTTTGTGGAAGTGTACAAATTCGAGAGATCACAGATATAACAGACTGCTATGCGAAAACTGGTTTGGTGGTAAGCATTTTCTTTTTATTAAGTGTAAGCGACAGGCGCACTCATTCGCATTGTATTTGTGAATAGGCATCGTATTATGCATGTGTTATAACTTATATTTTCGCTTTTGTGTGATCTCTCTGTCTGACATTTACTATACACACCGAAAAAAAGACAGGTACATACAATGCACAAAACACAGCAACTTCAGCAGCTTCACAAGCCCAGCCAAAAATGAATAAGACAAAAAAAAACTCAAGCGCAAACACATACACACACACACACACTGACACAACGGCGCAGATACCCCATCGGTGTTCTTTTTATCTCACCTTTGGAGTGAATACTGTTCTGTGCTACACTTTAGAAGATATGCTATATTATATTATTGCTTTTGACTTTGGCGAATAAAACAAAGAATAAGTTAAAAAATAAACCATGACCATGTATTGCCGTTGATGGGCGAACACAAAAAAGTAACGAACAAACGAAAGAATGAAAAAAAAAAATCTTAAACTGAGAGAAAACAAAGAACATCACATTCATTGCACACCGCAAACGCATTTACAATTTATCACACAACGTAATAGGCCTTTTCCTGTCCGTTTTGTCTTACTTTCATATTCTTTCCAAAAGTGATGACTATGTCGGCCAAAGGTATATGCATTTTGTTTTATCGGAATAGATAGGGCTCGCAACACGACATAAATCTTCAAGAAGAAACAAATCGTACGGTCAAGAAGGTGTACAATTTTCACAATGTAATGTCTATGATAATGGTAACACGCACTCCGTTCTCGAAAATATCACAGGCATTTGTTAACACATTTATGATAGCGACAATTTGTGGTGAAAAAACGCGCACACACACACACACACATGCACACAAATAGCAGCAGCCAAAACCAAAAAGACTCTTTAACAGCAGTAGTTTTGTCTTGATAAAGAAAAAGAAGAATAGGTTTGTGTGGAGAAAAAGGGAAAGCAATAGCGGGCCAATAATTTATTTGATGGTGCAACTGGTTGGATCTCTTTCTTTCGTATCTCATTTAATATTTGGGCATCGTGAGATTTTAAAAGATTTTCATCCGATTTCATTCGACCTACATTGAAACGATGCGCACACGAAGTCAATCGAATCAACAAGCATTGACTCAAAATAACAACAACAAAAAAGAACGGAAGAATGAAAACAGAAATGAAAACCAACCACTGTGCCTTGTTTGAACAAAATTTATAATTTTTTTTTTATTTCTTTTGGAGAAAAACTATGTCCGGCGCACACTATATCTTTTTAACAAATTTCGATACAACAAAAGACGGGCGCATCGTGTATCTTTACCGCAACCAACATTGTTTAGTTTTTAACATGAATGCTATTTTTTCTATTATAAGTCAAAACATCTGAACAACATTTTCCTCAACCGTGAATTCTATCCTCTTTTTATTTTATGCTTTGTGAACGATCGATTCGGTAAAAAAAAACCATTCTTTCGTTTCTCTCTTTCTTTTCTCTTTGTGTATGTGTGTCGTCTTCTTTTTTTTTTGTTTCGTTTCATTCTTCGGTCGACCGCAAGCCATTGGCGTTTTAACTCTGAACTTTCTGAAGAAATGAAAATGAGGTTTTACATTTATGCCTCTACGTGATAAACGTTCATCGTGTTTCTTCAGAAGAAAATTCAATACACACACAAATCTGTTCGTTAAATAGCAGCAGAAGGAGAAGAAGAAGAAGATTTCAAGATATTTATCTCACAATAAATTTTGTGCCGGTAAAAAACAACAACAACAAATGTGTGCGCATCATATTCAACCACTGCCGATGAGTTAAATTGACTACCATTATGTCATGAAAATTAATTTAAAACTGTTGCATGCGCGTTAGCTCGTACCTTTTGAGTAACTGTGTGTGAGCGTTTGAAGATCAACACCAAAAAGGAGGAAACACACGCGCACTAGTATATAATACGTACACGTATACATGTATGCCCCCATGCTCGTAAATAGGTTTCAGAGATCAAATATAACAAATTATCGTTTTATTATAGATATGCATTTGATTGTCTAGCCACTTAGTAAAACACGTTTTCCTAATGATGGCGATCACTTTTTAACGACGTATTAGTGATACGGCTAGCAGGTTGTTATTCGTATTGACAAGGGTCGGTCAACACGGTCGGTCACATTAATCGCCACATGCATTTTTCAAATATACAAAATCGACCTATCGACATCAATATTCTGTTTCTCGCACCGTTTACAGCCAAATTTTTTTTTTTTCTACTGTGAACGCAAAGTGCCATCACAATCGATTGCGTTACTTTTCTTTCTTTTTAAAAATGCAAAAATTATTCATTATGGAAACAAAAACGCCCATATCTATGCAAAAAAACATTTGAAACGGAAAAATAATCACGGTCACGTACGAAATTTGAATAAAGGATACTAAATAACAATGAACAAGTCTTTCGTATTTGGATTCGCTTTCAAAATCAACTTTTTGAAAAAAATTAAAAAGAAGAGAAGATTTGAAATATATATATATATATATTCGAAAGAGCTAAATTTTGATGAGAAAATGAAAGGAGCTATAACACGTTACTTGTTTCAAGTTAAAATGTAATTTTACATGATTGATTTTGGTGTGTGCATTTCATTTTTTCTTTTGTTAAATTTCTGTCGGAAATGGCGGGTACGAGCTGTGGCTGTGATGCCGTACAAAAAATCCGGTGGAGATTGTATCCCGTCGTCCGTTCCACACGCGATTTAACCGACATTCAATGTACAATGTTTTGTATGTGCACATTTCATTTTGTTGTTGTTGTTGTTAATGTTTGAGTTATGTGAAAATTGATAGCAAGAAGTGGAAACTTGAAACTGGTGTGAATTGGACTTCTTCATTGCTATGAAAACTAGCTGTTGTATTTTCCTCCTTTGGATAATACGTGGCTTCGAACCGATTCATTCTATTTGATATGAATATAAAAGTTAAAATGAATTTACCTGATTTAACGGAGCAATGAACATGTGCTCGGCTTTCATAATACACCCAGTCGAATCCAGCTTCAACGGCCAAACGAGCTAGCATTCCATTTTTGCTTCGATCGCGATCGGATGTCGTAACATCAACTGCTCGACCTTCGTAATGCAATGATTCAAAGCCATGTGCATCGTCTTCGTCCCATCCTTCAATGACACGTAGTCGGACACCGGGCCACTGATTCATTACAGATATTGCTAACGTGTCTAATTTTTCCTTGCATCGCTATAATTGAAGCAGAAAGAAATAGAGAAAAAAAAACGGAGAAAATCAATAAAACAAGAGAATAAAATCGATTACCATTTAAAAAAAATTTGAAGTTATTTCCATTTTTCGTTTTAGTTTTATTTTTACTCATTTTCTTTTAGTTCTTCTGTTATTTGTGTCATTCTTCATTGACATTGTGGCTATTTATTCCATTCACTTCCATATCGGCATTTGAAAATACAGAACACCGAAACCATGCTGTTTCAGGAAGGATTTTCTTTCGTTTTTACCGGTGCGATTTTGAGAGACGAAAAAAAAAATTCATTAGATTGATTTTATGTTTACTGATGCTGCCTATACAAAATTGCCATTGTTTGACGACGTTGGAATCACTTGTATGTGTAGTGTCCACTGAGGTAAAAATATAACGAAAAATAACAAGAAGAATACTACAATGAAGGATGGCGCAAAAACTATGTCAACATCAGCAATTCAATGAAAGGAAACTAACTCCTTAGCATTGCATCCCATTTGAAAATTACAACAAGCGGTACAATGAGCTATTAACCTTGCCTTGGACATTTCGGCTTTATTTATTATTTCTTTGGCATTTGCCCATTCGATACACACCTCATCTGCAAAGGCACATAGAAAATTTCTATTCTCAAACAAATAGAATTTTATGTACCATGGAAATTAACGTTTGAAAAATACGTTTATTTAGTGAGCGTACCGAATATGAACGGTGTTTGTCGTCGAATGTCCGTGACAAACGTTTAATAGATTTTTGCTAACAAAATTTCTCGGAAAATGTTATATGTTTTATAGCAGCTTCGGAAAAATTAACGTGGTAAAATTCATGCAAACTCATATTTGGTATTTATCCGATAGCTACTCATATTGCCGGAACATTTCAAAGCGAAAAGCGCGTTCACTTAATGGCCCACACTGAAAAAATGCCAATTGAATTTTGAGTATGTTTACGTATTTATTTGTTTGTGTGTGTGTGTGCACACAATGTACGCGTTTGCCGCGCTGATTGATTTTAGTGATTTTCTAATTTTGTGTTTAAGCCATTTAGAGTTTTTTTTTTTGAAATGTGCAATGAAGCGTTCACCTCTTTATCTTTCTCTGTTGACTTAAGATTTTCGGTCAGTTTGTTTGAAATCTTGAAATTGTTTGTAATTCGTTTGGATTTGGTGAAAATACATAAAATAAATTAATTGTTACATGCTGTGTGTCTGTTTCTAATTTTTTCATATTCATAAAGAATTAAGGCGAACAATGGAAATGGAATTGTTAACAAAGGCCTGAGATAGGATGATGGTAGAACGAACGCAGCAAAATTGTTCACCGGTAGCTTCATGGACGCATTTTCAAAAATGCTTTTCTCTTTCTTTAGTTCTGCTATTGAACTTTTTATGCGGGCAACACATTCGTACATTGTTGATGCTGTTCTTTTGCACACACACTCTCTACGCCTATTCAAGTATAAATAGACAAACGCAAAAATGTGCAACAACAAGAAAAAAAAATTCCTTTTTTGTTCGGTGTTTTTGTATTCTCACTCCCTCCTTCTCTTCCTCTCTCTCTTTCTGTCTCCTACGATCTCTCTATATGACTTTTTAACTTTTCACAATTTCAGCTTTCAATTTTCGGAGCATTCAGGATATCCATTGACTTGAATAGGATTTTGTTTGGTTTTATTTTTCATTGTTTGTCCATTGGCAGCTTGTGTAGAAATTGCAGCCCAATGTTTTTACAAACAATGTCAAAACAAATGGCATAAATTTGACTCAAGTCCAAGGCTTAGGTTATTGTTCTCAAAATGTTGAATAAAATGTATAACGACATGGCCCGAGTATTTTCAATTAGGCGGAAAAAATCAAAGTTGATGGAAAATGTTCAACTTTCTACATATTGCATACACACCACACAACCGGCATTGATCGAAAATGAATGCCAGCCGACATGAAAAATCGGCACACAAACATGTAATGAACATCGTATGTACATGAAAGTTGCTGTCCACCCGAATATTTCAACGAAAATGTGATTGCCGGCGATTTTCGTACCGTATCCATTGTCCAATTCATTAAATGGAACTATTTAGTTCCGGCAATGAACGTTGTATTGACAATTTATTCATTTGGCTTCGTTAGTGTTTCATTTTTTTTTTTTCATAATTTTTGGAGTCAGTTTCATAAAAATCCACTCCGATTCTTAATTCTACCAAATTTGCCTTGATTGCATTTCATATTAGTTGATCTCATACCTGATTTCTACGCATTAACGTTTTCTCTCTCCCGCTCTCTCTCTTTTGGTTAAATCGTTTCTCGTTTTATGTATATTCTGCTAGACAATTTGTGTGAATCTTTAATTTTGTTACCACATGTTGTTTGTGGCAGTTTACATCGTTGAAAACGAATCGTAAATTGAAATATGTGATGGTTTCTTCGTTAAAATGTTTTCTTATTTTATACATTTCGGTATACTGTATTGATCACATACAAAGAAGAAAAAAGAGAAAAACCAGCCAACATTTGCGCAACATAGTTAAATTTTTAATATAATACTATAAAATGGTGTGTGTGTGTATTTTTTTTTTGTTAAATGTAAGTAGAGTTGGCGAATTGCATTAAACTATGAAACATTCAATAATTGAAACTGGCCTTCATTTTTCTTTATCTGAATGATATTCTATGGCGATTTCTCAACCATTTTCTATAAGAAAATTGACAAAGATTTTTGAGAATTTCAGTTCGATTTGTAATTTATAAGAAAAAAAAATTGGTCATATGGCTGTACTCATTTTGAATCGGTTGGCAACAGTCGAAGTTTTGAGAAAAAAAGAGATGCGAATGCAGCTTAATTTATTAAAATCGGTTTTTGATGTCGAATGTTGAGACTATTCTTTTTTCCATGCAACGAATGTGAAAAGTAAAAAAAGGAACAAATTCTGATAAAAAGCAAACTACTTCGTTTAAATGCTGCGGTCGTATTTTTAAATTTTTGTATCTGTTTTTCACCGATTGCCATTATTTTGGCCCCGATAGCATGAGCAGGCAACAAAAGTCCACAAACATAATAATATCGCCAAAGGAGGCTTGAGAAACAGAAATGAACAAGAATAAAAAGAAAAGTGTTGAGAATAATAAGATGATATTAAACAGCTTAACGCTATAAAATGGCCGTGCAGACACGTATATACTCTCTCAGATACGTATATATACAAAGAGAAGTATTTACCGTGGAAAAAAAAAATTGTATGTGAAAGAGAATCAGGTAGAAGGAGATATCAAACGCGGCACAAAACTTGTTAGTGGTAGAGGCGTTTAAAGCTTATATACGTACAAAAATTTACAAACACTTTGGAAAAGAAATTCCTGAAAGTGAATAGATTCTCCCGGTTCGTTTATGCTGTTTTTTTTTCGATGTTCGCAGGATGGCTGGTTTTCGAAGATCAATAATGATATTTCGAATGGCTGGCCGTTTTTGTTCTTCGACGATTTTTCTCTCTTTCGTTTTTTTTTTAAACGAATGACTGTGCATTTGAACGCCATTGAAATTTTTCAGGTTCAGAAAGTGAAATTCTCAAATGATAAATACCTTATCAATGGACTAAATATTGAATTGAAATCGGAAAGGTTTGATCGTTTTTTGTTTTGTTTTCAAATGAAACTTACTCTTATTAATCTAACGCATTGATTTATTGATATGAAGCGATCATAAGATGGAATCTGTGTGATACCAAAATGTTTACACAATCGAACAACAATCAATGTCAAACGGTTGGTTTTTGTTTTGTTCATTTAGCTATTATCTTGATCAAAGCAAACAATGAAATATTTGTCATTTAGGGTAAAATGATTGACCAAATAGAGGGAGAGAAGAGAAAAACCACCCAAATCGAACATCAAAGGGAAAATGTGTCGGAAAAAGGAATCTAATTCACACGGATGACCATCATTCGAATGCAATAGGTTTTCATGTTGTTTGTTATTGAAACAAACGATAAGAAAGCACCAACAGACAATACCATTCCGAGTAATTCATTGACAAGAGTTCAAAGGAACCACCGAAAATGTCATTCATGTTTGTGAAATTAATCTCAATAGACCAGTTTTCTATTTATAAAACAAGCCGGCTTCAAATATGGATAATAAACATCTTTTGACTTTCGCATCGATTCTCTTTGTTTTTTTTTTGTACGATCAAGTTGTTTGCAACGTCAACCTCAGCCAATTATTTAGTGTGGATGCGATGAATTTGAGAGAAAGAAGAAGATTAAGTCAATTTTGAAAAATTCAAATTTTTAGATTTAATTTAGTATATTATTATATTTCGATGGTGAACATATATATGGCTTCGTTCATAAATTACACGTATGCTCCAATCTAAATCGCAATAATAAAAATTTCCCATATAAATTCCATTTTTGTTTTCAAAACATAAAAAAATAAATGAGTTTTGGAGAAAATGATGGTGAAAATGCCATGGTTATTTTGAATGAATGAAGAAATAAAGGTTTTTTTTTTAAACCACGCCCATTTTATTTTTTAGGAGGAGTACAGGTGAATTTTCTATCAATAAATCGGTTCATATGCGTGAGAATAATTTTTTCTTTCTCTGTGTTTTACGAATGTGTTGAGTATCGGGCATTTTCTTTTTTTTTCATCTATGGCATCGCGTCAAGTTTATCAAAACGAAAAATAATTTGTTGATTACAAAAAAATATTCGATGCGCATCAATGATCGATCATTTCTGTAATCAAACGATCAATTTTGTTATTTAATACGCATTTAAAGATGAATTCAGAATATGTTTTTTTTTTGTTCTTCTGGCTATCATCGTATGTATGGCACGATACGTACGGCACGATGCGTATTTTTCCTGTGAGCTGACATCATTTTGCATAAATTATTAATGTTTTAACGCCATTATAACGGAATTGTTGTGTTTCATGTTTCTTTGTTCAACAGTTATGAATCTGTATAATAATGGTTTACGGCTTTTG